GCAACGTGTCACCGGTGTCGCTATGGCCCATAGCGACACCGTTATAAACAGCCCCAAAGGCGTAAATAGTTTCAAAACAACCCCATTTACGTAATAAACTTTTAAAACAATCCCACTTTGGTCAAAAAGCCTGAAGAGAGTGACTCGTCTAGAAAGGAGAATGAGAGGGAAGAAGAGAGAGTTGGAGTGGTGGGAAGTGAAGGGAGGGGAAAAAGAGGGAAGGGGGTCTTACATCCCACTAGTTTTCTTTAATCCCCTTAATTTCTTTAAAAGAGTATGGATCCACACGGTACTCTATATATTTGTTCATACGCATTATATTTTATTTTATTTATTTATTTATTTTTATTTTATCTTCCCTGTATTCATTAGTGTAGGACAAGAAATGTTAGTTGAATGATGATCCCTTTGTAATTGTCAAATGGCCCGTACAATGACTAATAACTAAATATAACTATTGTACACATACTGCATGATTAATATGACACTATAAAAAAAAATTACATATAAAAATACATAAATGTCATGTTTTATTAATCTAAATTTATTCTATTTAATAACTTAAATTTTATATTAAATTTTAATACATTTTTGAACCATACACATTTATTCTTTTTCTATATATATATATAATATTACATAATTCAATGATTAAATTAGTTAAATTTTTATATTTATACATGATCTCAACAAATCTTTACTCCATGGGTATGTATATATTGTTGGGCCCGATTGTCCACCTTTTCCTCCACCATAGTATGATATTGTCCGCTTTGGGCCCAAGTCCGCACGGTTTTGTTTTTGGACTCCTTCCCAAAAGGCCTCATACTATGTGGAATGGTGGACACTTATAAAGTGGCCAATGTTTCTTCATTTTACCGATGTGGGACTTGGGATGAATCCCAACAAACCTCCTCTCAGACCGAGGACCACATGTCTCGTGATCTTGTCTCGTGATCTCCTCCGCTCAAGCGATAATAATCCGTCACCATCTTGTACCAAGTTCGGATCTCTTCTCCATCGCGAGGCACAACACTGAGGGTCTTCCCGCATCAAACCCAGTCGAACCGTTGGCTCTGATACCACTTATTGGGCCCGATTGTCCACCTTTTCCTCCACCATAGTATGATATTGTCCGCTTTGGGCCCAAGCCCGCACGGTTTTATTTTTGGGCTCCTTCCCAAAAGGCCTCATACTATGTGGAATGGTGGACACTTATAAACTAGCCAATGTTCCTTCATTTTACCGATGTGGGACTTGGGATGAATCCCAACATATATTAACTTAACTTTTGATGATTTTCTTAAATTACATTCTTACACTTAATTATAATAAAATCCATGTGATCTCTTCTTATTGCTGAAATTAAACAACAACGAAACTTTTCCACATGAATTCATTAAAAAAAAAAAAAAAAAAAAAAAAAA